GTTTGAAGCCAGTGCTCATTCTCTACCTTGGTAAACACATTTCAAGGCTTAGCTTAATGTGTTTGCTCTTCAGCGAAGCCTTCTCAGTCTCTCCTGTCCTTTCTTCTGTGCACTCAGCATTTCCCACCCACATTTATGACACTACGTATTATTAATTATGCATTAGGCCCACTTATTAGTTCCTTCAGCAAACACACTTTGAATCCACATTCAACAGGACATAGTGCTTGACACTGATTACCAGCAGTGAACAAAGCTGGCCTGGACCTGGCATCCTACAGCTGGGTTAGGAAGAGACTTTCAGTAAAAAACCATACAAATACACCATCAAATTCCAGATGATAATTGCTATGGAGAAAAACTTGGGGTGTGGGCGTTATCTCTCACTCCAGGCATCATATGAGCACCTTACAGTCACAACTTAAACATTTTTATTTTCCTACCATTAACTGATTGCCTGTATTGATATGCAGTTGGTGTGGTATTAATAAATTAAAAGAACTGTGTAGGCCACGAATTAGATTTCTACTGGGAAAATGAAGTTCACCTTGTAGAAATGGGATGATAAAATGTTTGGCATAATGACAAGAGCTGCAGGAAAAAGATGCAAATATGAATGAAAAAGTAGGACACATTTGACCAAAGGCAAGGTTATCTCAACATCAATCTCTTAATTCAGGAGTGTACTTTTTCATTCATAGTCTGAGTTTCATGATGTTCAGAACATAATAGAAAACTCTGTATGCTCAAATTTTTTTCCCAAATAAAGTTTTTGTCTGAGGGCCTGGAAAGTTAAACTGACACCTAACAGTTCTGGTTTCTGCTTATTATGTTTTGTGGATTCGTTTTCCACTCACTAATACAAAAAACTTAATCGGTGGTCTTTACAAAAATTATTACAAATGAAATCCCAAATATGATTTTAGATCTCAAGCTTCATGTGAGGAGCATCCACTCAGCTGTAAAATATTTGTGATATTTTCAAATAATTTTAACCTACTCTATTAAATATACATTTATAAAAATATATATTTTTTAAGAATTATTTTTATTTATTTGAAAGACATAGTTACAGAGAGAGGTGGAGCCACAGAGAGAAAGAGGGCTTCCATTCCGCTGGTTCACTCCCCAAATGACTGCAACACCAAGAGCTGAGCTGATCCAAATACAAGAGCCAGGAGCTTCTTTCTGGGTCTCTCATGTGGGGGCAGGGGCCCAAGGACTTGGGCCATTTTTTACTGCTTTCCCAGGGCATAGCAGAGAGCTGGATTGGAAGAGGAGCAACCAGGACTTGAACCAGCGCCCAAATGGGATGCTGGCTCTGTAGGCCAGGGCTTTAACCTGCCGTGCCACAGTGCCAGCTCCCAAATGCTTCTAAATGGATAGCACAAACTATAATGAATGCTCACTCAGAGTGACATCTTATCAGGACACTGTATTGCAATGAGTCAAAGAGAATAATATTGAAATAAGCATAAAAGTTTCATCAATAAGTTTTAGGCTGTAAACTATATTACAAAGAGATATTAAATTGCTGAGAAATGTTGGATATTAGCAACCTTTATTTTTCTTTTGTTTCTGTTGCTTCAAGATGCAACTTATTGCATATGATACTTGAATTCACTACACTTAAAATGATTATAAACTATACCAACTTGGAAGTCGGTTACTGGGGAAACTGAATTTTAAAAACTACAGCAAAATGAAAAATGTCCATCTGTTTGCAAAGAATGAAGATCTAAGTCTCAGTTTAGAGCGCTGTACTGCGAGCAATGAATGTCACAGTGGGTTTGGTAGAGAATCTGTGTCAGTGCCATCGTTACCCGTAACATTCAGTTGGGCATGGCTTGTAAACGAGGCAGCTCATGTTAATGCAGAGCGTGCAGTTTAGTGATGAGAACTCCTACACAAACGTCATACCAAAACCACTGCTTCAGGAACTGTCTGGGTCATCTCTGGGACTCTGTGCATCGTAAACAGGGAGATTACTGACCTCACGTGCTCTGGGTCTTCTCTTCTACCAGCTAACAAGGAGTAACAACAACACCCATCTTCAAACTCGGAGGCAGCTTTACTTCCACTGAAACTGCCATCCCTCAGCTACGCCTGAAGATTTTTTTTAAAAGATTTTATTTATTTACTTGAGAGATAGTGTTGAGAGAGAGAGAGAGAGAGAGAGAGAGAGAGAGAGAGTCTTCCATCTGCTGGTTCACTCCCTAAATGGCCACAATGGCTGGAGCTGAGCTGATCTGAAACCAGGAGCCAGGGGCTTCTTCTGGGTCTCCCAGGTCAGGTGCAGGGGTCAAAGCACTTGGGCCATCCTCAGCTGCTTTCCCAGGCCATAGCAGAGAGCTAGATTGGAAGAGGAGCAGCCCAGACAGGAACTGGTGTCCATATGAGTTGCTGGCTCCACAGGCAGAGGCGTAGTCTACTACACCACTGTGCAGGCTCCTAGCCCCTGAAGATTATATTTAATTGGTTTATTATTAATTACATTTATTTTGTGTTGAATTTCTCATCTCTCCAACAGAAATTCTCTTTTACTTTGCTCATCAAAAGAAAACAACTGACTTTACAATATTTAGGATCTCGATCCATGTGCCCTCTGCCACTCTTCTTCCCAACAAACCAACTGAGAGCCACTGGAAATGGCTGGGCCATCGGGGAATGTTATCAGAATATCCTTGCTTAGGCCGGCGCTGCAGCTCACTAGGCTAATCCTCCGCCTGCGGCGCAGGCACCCCAGGTTCTAGTCCCGGTTGGGGCGCCAGATTTGGTCCCGGTTGCTCCTCTTCCAGTCCAGCTCTCTGCTGTGGACCAGGAGGGCAGTGGAGGATGGCCCAAGTGCTTGGGCCCTGCACCCGCATGGGAAACCAGGAGGAAGCACCTGGCTCCTGGCTTCGGATTGGTGCAGTGCCGGCCGTAGCCGCCATTTGAGGGGTGAAACAATGGAAAAAGGAAGACCTTTCTCTCTGTCTCTCTCTCTCTCACTAACTCTGCCTGTAAAAAAAAAAAAAAAAAAAAGAATATCCTTGCTTCACTCAAAATTATACAAATACAGAACTTTATACTCATTAACTTTCCCATATTTTACTTCTAATACATTTACATTATAATAAATTATGCTCATCACACTATGATTTTGGATAAAATGAGACATATTGGCCTAATTTTACTGTTGCTAAAATTGCATCTATCCTACTTCTACATATTTTATAAGAACAAAACTGCTTTAAGCTACTCAATTATTTCCACGTTGATTCAATTATGCATACCTGTTTTAACTGCCATGAAGTATAAAATAATATAGTCAGCAGTTTATCGATCTAATTCTAAACATAGTTTTTAAAAAACAAAATATTACAAGTTATGGAATAATAAGTTCATCCACAATTAGTAATTTCCTAATAATGTCAACATCCTAGAATTAGAACAAAAACAACTTAAAATAACCAGAATATAAAGCGACAAATAAGAGTATTATAAGTCATCATTCAATGTCGTTATAAGGTATTATTTTAACCAAACAATTTTCTAAGCTCAACAATGAACCTTTATACAGAATAAATGAGGTTTATAACTTAAAGAGACTAGCCTGCACAAAAACACCGAAAGGAAAAAATCAACCGTGAAAGTCAATTACTCATGAGGAGGTTTTGACTAACCTACAAATACCAAAGCTTTCCTGGCATCGGCTGAGGAAAACTACTTCCACTTGCTAAGGCACAGCGCCCTCCATGCTACAGCATGAACAATGTGGCAATCACGGCTTCAAAGACAGAGAACACAGGCAGAAACCGCCCTTCCATGGAGAGGACTTGAAATCGCCTTTGAAGCCATTTTGCTGTAGTGACAAGGATGGAAACTGCCGCCACGGCCTCATGGTTCTCTGCTTCATGTACTGCAACGGGTCAGCTGAGGAGGCTCACAACTGCAAGACAACGTTTCTCGGATGGGCCTGGTGCGGGAGTTTGTCTTACAAGCTGTCTGTGTGGCTCTCATGGATAGGCAGAACTGAAATCAATGACTCATTTCCACAGTTACTGTTTGCTTTCTCAGCCTTCTTCAGCCATGTGAATGCCAAGATGATCTTTCACTACTGTCTACCGAATTAAGTTCCAACTTCTGTGCGCAGTGTACAAGACCGGTCCTCACCCACCAGACCAGCTGCATCCCCACGCCCCTCTGCCCGCCAGCCCTGCCAAGCACTAGTTTCCAACAAGCCGGGCCTCAGCCTTTGGGCCTCAGCCTTCAGGCCTGAGTACTTATTCCTCCCTTGCTCTGAAATGCTGTCTATTGGTCTGCTCGGAGAATTGTACCTCCTCTATGAAACCATTCCTGACAACCTAGTACTCAGCCCTCCTTGAAGTGTCCTCGAAGCGCCCCATATAGAAAGCATTTTTATTTTGTTACTGTTTTTCTAATAACAATGAACCATCATTTCAGAACATTTGTCTCTCTCATCGACATTATACTTTTGTGAAGAAGGGACTATGTCCCATTCATCTCTGTATCACCCAAACTTAGCGTATGCTGGTATTCTACATATGCTAAATGCATTATATTTCACATTATTTTTACTTAATGTAGACAGAACCAGAGGAGAATTACATTGGGACAACTGAAAAAGTCAGGCTTATAAAGGAAGGAAGGGAGGGAGGAAGGAAGGGAGGAAGGGGGGAGGGAGGGGGGAGAGAGGAAGAGGGGGGGAGGGTTTAATATCTAGTAATAGTAATAATCATAATTCTAAAGATTAGCTTTTCAATCAGATTACAAGATGAATTTCCAACATGGTTAAAGTCAAAGAAAGCCTTAACTAAATTCTCAAGTGTTCCCTGGGCATCAGTTTCCCCAAACCACACGTTTTCAGAATCATAACCAATGTATGCTCACCTCAGGCTCCAGTAAGGGAGGGAAGCCTACTTAATGCCCACAAGTTGGCCTATTTGGCTGCTCCTATCATGGGAACTCTACCCCGCCATTCTGGTGAGCATGCTTACTTTGTATTTGTTTTCTGATCTGGAAGGGGTGGGAATATGTCCTTTTTTCTTGAAGGTTGTAAAGTGCTTGCACTGAGGACAGGGCTTGGTACTGGAATCAATGCGACCAAGTTCCAAGAAGTATTTATACTTGATGGAGTCTTCATGTGTTAAGTTATAGACAACTGTTGTTTCTTCCAGGAATTCAAAACACTCTGTGATGGGGCATTTGATTTCTACTTGGCCAAGTTGTACCTGTGTGAAAAAGCAGATGGAAGACAAAAACAAAAAGGTCACTGGTTATTCAGGAATCTTTTCTTCTCCTTTTCTTTCCGTTTTACATACAGTATTGCTTATTTCATGATGCAGCAAAGGACTATCTGTAATGTTTAGAGATAACACAAGAAATGGTAATCCGATACCTGAATTAGGCAGTGTTAAAATAACTGCATTATAATGTTCCCAAAATGACTTACAGATTTATGTTCAAGCCTTCTCTCATCATTATCATTTGAGACCTTAAATGGATGTAAGCCACAGGTTCACCAAAGAAGCAAATTATCACACCATCCTCCTGGAAACCACAGGATTAGACAGCATCTGGACTAAGTGCCAACTATGAGAACCACAGGCTGAGACAGCATTTGTGTCAAATAAAAGATGCGTCAGATTTCTCAACCTTACTACAGCATACTTCAGCACTAAACTTCGGGCACATTTTACTAACTTTCAAAAGGACAAGAGAGAGATTTTGTTAAGTAAATAGGTACAATAGCTAATAGTTTAAAACTCAAGGCCAAAAAGTAACCATTTCCCCTGACCTTTCCATGTCAAGAACATAAAACTAGTTTCCACATTATCAGAAGCGCAGGAACAAGAAAAAAAATTAAACCACTACAATAATGTAAAACAACAACAAAAATACCCCAATCCTTATGAAATCTGCTATTTCTACTGAGGTCACTTACAGAATTAGCTTCTTCAAAGGGCCACAGAACTAGAATAGGAGAGAAGAGAGGGATATTTCTTTAGCATCTGGCATGGGACACTAGCATTAGAAATCAGAGCAAAAGCACAGAGTGTGGAAACAGTTGATTTTTAAGAGATGAGGAGGGCAAAGTACTTTGAAATAAGAAGTAACTAGAATGTTTTATGTAAGCAATGAACTGTAACTGTTTTCACAGCATCATAATCTCTTTGGTGCATCCGAAGGTAGCAAAGGGAGGCACTGAAAATACCAAATGACAAATGATGCTAACCTTTCACTTCTTTCACCTGAGTGAGTCTGACATTCCGGGAAATCAAAACACATCCACCTAATCCAGAAAGGCACACTACAGAGATGAAGGCAGGAATGAGAGCCATTTTCTTCAAAGAGAAGTAAAGAAAACACCACCGCAAACAGCAATTAAAGCAAAAAGAAACACCTAAAGTCACAGTAACTTTTAACTTTGATGTTTATCTGGCCCATATAGAGAAAACATGGTTATGTTACAGGTTGAAGGATTCATGGGAATAACATGTTTGAAACCAGCAAAGCACATGAGTTCAAGTGATAATGAAATGGAAAAGTTGGGCTTTGGATAAACCGACTTAGTAGTATCAACCTGCTGAAATTATAAGTTGATACATATTTTCTGCTGGTTATATAAAATGTGGTCCCAAAAGGTTTCTGTAAATACATGCTCAATAGTTTATGTACTTTTTAAAATAAGTCTGTTCACAGTTGCAATCAAATTTTAATATTGTGTATTTTATAGTATATAATGATCATGAGCTATTATATGATAATGGCATAATTCAAATTATGCTTTACAATGAATTATTTTAAGTTACACCTCAAGACAGAAGTTCTCAGGAGATTTTTTATAAAGATAAAACTGCCTGTGTCACATATAACAGTCTGGTTTATTAAGTATGTAAGTTAAAACATTTAAAAATGATGTAATGTTTCCTCTTTTAATATTCTATTGACATTTATCAAGCCCAATTCTGAGCCAAGGAGCAGAGTTATATGTGGAAGTTTTGCAGGTGCCTGTCGGTGAGCAGCCAGTAAGGATAGTAAGAAATGTGAAGGCTGAAAAAGTGAGGAGTCCAGTGTGTCAGGGAAGGAGAGTAGGGAAGCACAGTGACCTAAGACTTGGGAAATGCAGAATATTCTTGGGAATAGTGCTGTTTGCAGTGAGGTCCTAAGATTAGTGGGACTTAGTAAGATGAAGATGTTCCAACCAGCCAGAAAAAAACAACCTGGGCAAAGGCCTAGAGTAGGAGAAGAGTGCACTAGAACAGGTATGTTCATACTTTTCCCACACCCTAACTGGATCATCCTGCACCATGTAGACGGTTTCTTTTCATTACACAAAAAAGGGGCTCACTTGGGCCACCTTGAGGGGCTTTTATTGGGAAGAGGTACACTTTGGTGGAGACGAGTCTAAATTTTTTCTTCTCTGGTCAGTGTCTGAATCAGCCTTCCTCAACCTATGAATTTATTTATTCAACTACATAAATGACAACGATGGAAGCACAATTTTACAGCCATCTGAGAACAAGATCTTGTGGAAATGGAAAGTAGTCTAGGGACCAGAACAATCTAAGGCGGCTCGAGGGAACAAGCCATCGTGTTATTTCTTCAGGAGTAGGTGTGCATTGCATACCACACTGGGGGATCATCCAACATCCAGTCAGCGTTTCTCAAATCTGTCTGCCAACCAATTCTACTTCCATCTAACAGATCAATTCCTCTTGCTTTCACAGTCTTTTCATCAATTCTTGCATACCTTCCCTTCTTTCTCTAAGTCCCAAAATCTGTACCCCCCTAAATCAAGCCAATGACCTCAAATTTACTGAGCACACAGAAGCCGTCAGATGCACATTCCCATATCTTCCTACTACCAACCCTACCAAGCCATCAACATTGGTCCCCATCTTTTCTGTCTTCCCTCTTTATAGTCCATAAGGTTGAATCCAGAACAAGTGTGTTTGAGTCTCTTGATACGGCTGTTGGGAATTTATGTTTTCTGACCCCCTTAAGACCTACAGAATCTGAATCATTGCTGGTGAGCCAATAACTGGCAGTTGGAAATACTCACACAATTCCTTCCATTACTCATACTTGTTCACAATAAAAATATTTCCTTTCTCACATACAGTGTTACTCATGCCTTATGCATTCTCTGGGTCTCTAGATGTATTATTATTTTCAGAATAATTTCCCCAAAAGATCACTAGGAAAAAATAATAACAATTAAGCAAAATGCATTCATTTACTCAAGAAGATAGATATTTGATTCATTCAAGGATGTGCTTTTTAAATATTTTAATACCTCGAAAGTCAAGGTTATTTTATAACCTATAGATGTTAACATTGTACAATACTTTAAGTTGAAGTGCTTTACTTTCTTGGTGGCACATAACATAATACTTCTTCCTATAGCTGATCCTTTTTAGATTTCAGTGAAATGTATTTTTTTAAGATTTATTTTTTATTTATGTGAAAGAGTTACAGAGAGAGAGGTAGAGATAAATAGAGGGAGAGGTCTCCCATCCACTGGTTCACTCCCCAAATGGCCACAAAAGCCATGACTGGGCCAGGCCAAAGCCAGGAATCAGGAGGTGCATTCAAGTCTCCCACATGGGTGCAGGGGCCCAAACACTTAGGCTATCTTCAGCTGCTTTTCCAGGTGCATTAGCAGGGAGCTGGATTGGAAGTGGAGCATCCTGGACTTGAACCACTGCTCATATGGGATGCCAGCATTGCAGATGGCAGCTTAACCCGCTACGCCACAACAACAGCCCTGGGATCACATTCTAAACTCAGTATGAACACTGATGAGTTTTAAAAGGACGAGTGACATTATTTGATTTATATCAACAAAAGTCATTCAGGTTCTTGTCAGAGTACTGATGGCAGAAAAACAAAAGTGAAGCCTGGAAGAGTAGTGTCACTCTGGATCGTGACTGCTCTTCCCCCCAGTGGCATCTGGCTGTTCCAGTTGTCTAGGCAATAGATGACATATGCCTCAACTCAGTAGAAGATATGGGGGATGTTTTGTGAGTGGAATCAATAGGTCTTTTTATGAGCTGAAAATTTAAAATTGGATGCAGGCGATCCTTGACTGATGCTGGGTTCTTTCTTGATAAACCCTGTGTAAGATGAAAACACCATAAGTCAAGAAAGTTTTTAATACACCTAACCTATTGTTTACCAATACCTTAGCGCATCAGTATCTTGTAGAGTATTGGTTGTTTGCCCTCACGAGGCTGTGGCTCACTAGGAGCTGCAGCTTGCTCCTGCTGCCCAGCATCTCCTGACAGTATTGCACTACATACTGCTATCCTGGAGAAAGATCAAAATTCAAAATTTGAAGTATAGTTTCTATGGAATGTGCAGCATTTTGAACCATTGTAATGTTGAAAGATATTCAGTTTAAGCATTTAAGTCAAGGGCTGTTTGTATACTTATGTTACAAAACATGATGTTTTAAAATATATATACACACATTGCAGAATGAGTAAATCAATATAATTAGTGATGCATTACTTTGCATTCTTATTTTCTGTGGTGAGTACACTTAGAATCTGTTCTCTTAGCAATTTTCAAACTTATAACATCTTTTTATTAATCTGTTGCCATGTTGCACATTAAATCTTTCGAACTTGTTACTCCTATTTGAAATTTTCTATTTAACCAATGTCTCTTCAATTCTCTGTACCCTACTCCCATCTTAACCTGGTAACTATCATTCCACTCTCCTCTACAGATTCAGCTTCTTAAGATTTCCTATGTAACTGAGATCATACCGTATCTGCTCTTCCTGTGACTGGCCTATTCCTCTCAACATAGCTTCCTGAAGATTCATTCTTGTTGCAAATCACAGAATTCCCTTCTTTAAAGGCTGTATATCATTCCATTGCATATATACCACATTTTCTTTATCCATTCATCCACTGGTGAACACCTAGGATAATTCCATACCTTAGCTATTGGGACAATGCTGCAAGGAACATGGGTGTGGATATCTCTTCAACATACTGGTTTGATTTCCTTTGGACCTAAATCCACAGCAGCATCGCTGGATCATATGGTAGTTCCACCCTCATTTTCAAGGAACCTCCACACTGTTTATCATAATACCTATACTGATTTATATTCTCACCAGCATTGTACATGCTGCCTTTTCTCCATATGCTCATCAAACCTTACCTTTTGTCTTTTGTATAACAGCCATTTTAACAGGCTTAAGGTAATAGCACAC